GGGGCCCCTGTCTCTCCTCTGTCTTTTCTGGTTGAAAGAAGGTTGAATTGATTCATAAAAATCCAGCCGGTCTTGCCCCAGAGGCTGTGTTGCCCCCCATGCCCATGCCTGGGCCCCAGCACCGTCACCAGTCAGCTCTCCGGGGTCGTGCTGCAGCCGGGCTGCCACCGGAGCACTGGGAAGAGGGCGCTGGCTCTGGAGACCCCCTTGCACTTGGTCTCACATTACGTGATGTGCCAGTTCCCGGCCATACACTGCGGGTCACCAGCACCCAGCCCCGGCACAGGATGTACAGCACATGCCGCCACTGTTATAGAAACACCTACCTCCAGATTTACCAAAATGAGCTCATTCCTTACATAGTATAAAACTGCATGCTTCATTAAAGGAAAATTTAATCCCTCACTGAAGGACTCAGTGACAAGGTTCAGGGTGTCCCCTGTGCTCAGAGCCACACTATGACCTTCTCCCCCGAGGGGACAGACCATGGACGCACCTTCACAGTGAGGACCGGGCTGGCCCCAGTTCCTGCAAAGCGCAACGGCATTTCCAACCAGGTAGTAGCCAGGATCGCAGGTGTATGTTACAGACATTCCCATGGTAAAAGCTGCTTTGCCCTGGCCGTTATGATTTCCGTTGCGAACCCTCGGAGGCATGGGACACGGTCGGGAAAGCCTAACTCAGCGAGAGAACAGCGTGCAAGGGGAAGGCAGTCGGTGTGATGCTGCCTTGATGGGTTAAAGCCCATCGCAGGAACAGCTCCGCCTGCACACGCTGTTCCTGCCTGCAAGGAGCACCCGCCGGGCAGGGCTACCCTCGGGGAAGCAGCGGGCACCCGCACTCACTCCTCTCGCAGATGAGCACCGGCGGATCCCAGGTCCCACCCGGCTGGCACTGAGCCTCGTAGTTGTCCTCTGCAGCATAACCGGCGTCACAGTCAAAGTGAAGACTCTCTCCAGCTTTGTAGGTGCTCTGCGGCTTGTAGACGTTCCCGTTCTGCACCTTGGGTATCTCACAGCCGATTGCTGCAGGGAACATGGACAGCATCCTTTAATGTTCAGTGCATGGGCCAGGTCCTGCACACACAACCCCCTCCCTTCTCATCACCGCCATCAGCCTGTCTGCACTGTTCCTACAACCAGGACATCCAGCATCCTTTCTGCCAGCCCCACACCCAGCAGTGAAGCATCCACCCACCTTCACAGCGGGGCAGGGTCTTGCTCCACACCCCGGCCTCTGTGCAGGTGATGGACACGTTCCCGACCAGCGCGTAGCCATCCTTGCAGCTGTAGTACACAGTCAGTCCCCGGGAAAACTTGTCCAAGGACTTTGCGCTGTGCTGCCCGTTGGCGATGTTTGGTGGCCGAGGACACATCACCTCTGGAGAGGGAAAAGAAATTGCCCAGTGTTTTTTGCTGTTAGCTGGTTTGTGTGCTACTAGGACTGTTTGGGTAACGTCAGGGTAATATCCTGAATTCTGAGCAGTCTTTGTTCCATTTGCTGGAGCAAAGTATTAGTTAACAAAAGGTACAGCAGCACCAAGATTACAATCACATTGTGGCTGGAGGAAATTACTACTAATAAGGACAGTCCCAACAGAAGAACTCACAGGCACAGTGTGGGATTTGGCAGAAGATGCACATGGACGTGAAAGCAGCAAGAGCAGCAAGAAGCTGTGACTACTTCCCATTCCAGGAGGAAGATGAAAACATCCCACATCTGACCAAAGCAGAGTCACAGAAATCCCCCTTGGGCAGCAGACAGAGCCATCCCCACAGCTGGCCCGTGGCTCCGGAGCGCGCTGGGGAGGTTACAGCTTCCTGCTGCACAGCAGCTCAGCCCCAGGGTTAACTTCTGCCCATCCCCTCGGAGCCCAAGACAGGGCAGGCTGCAGCTGGCCCCGTGTCCCACCCCAGCTCCTTTCTTCTGAGCTGTTTCTGTCTGTCTGAGCGCCAAGCTGGCAGCACTTTGGTTTGAGAAGAGAAGCAAGGACAGATGCATCCCACCTTTGCTTTCCCACTGAATTTAGGAGGACACAAGAGGGAGCTTTCCCCCGTGGCTGTCACGGCTCGCACCGCGTGCTGGGATACTTACCCTTTTTGCACACCGGCAGAGGTGGGCTCCATCTGAAGTCAGCTTGGCACGTGCTTGTGCTGGACCCCTGTAAGGTGTACCCTGTGTTGCACGTGAAGCTTACGGTGTCCCCGATCTTGTAGAAATAGCGAGCAGTGGATACTCTCCTCCCATACCGGACACGTGGGAACCGGCATTGAGGAACTGGAAAAGGGAGAGAAATAAAATGTCGTTTACCCACAAGACTCTCAAACTGTTCCTGCCTGTGATGGTTGGCGTGTCGATGGTGTCCGTGCAGCCTGTTGATCCCTGAGCGATGGGACATGGTGGAGGCTGCAGCCAAATCGAGTGCCCCCAGGGCTCCTCCTTTGCTGCTGGGGGACCCTGCTGCTTCCCCAGCTGGCAAGAACTGGGTGTCCAGGATTCCATGTCAATCACCTGGTGAGCTCAAGAGCCTTTCATAGCCTTTCCACATGCTTCCAATCCACGGGCTGGGAAGCACATCCCCTGGGTCCAGTCCGACCCAGGGAGATGCTGGCAGGACCGTCCAGGTCTGACCTTACTGCAGTGCAGGGGTCTGTGCTACCAGGGGCACGCAGGCATACGAGAGAGCCAGGCAGGGGCTGTACAGCGTGGGTTGGGGGGGCCCGTGCCACGCTGCTCATGGCACCGCTGTGACGGTGCACGGTCGGACCCATGCCAGCGAGGGCGAAGCCTCTGCTGCACCTTACACGGGAGCTGCAGGGGAACTTGCCTGTGAACCTGCTGGGGTGCTTGCAGGGGGACCTAGGGGTTGTTCACATTGAACCGCTGGAGAGAGAAAGAAAAAGACAGAGAGGTAGACTTGCAGAGAGGCAGGCAGACAGACAGACCTTCAGACACAAAACTGCAGGGAAGTAGCTTTTTGTTCACTAGGCAAAGATTTGCACTAGATGCGGGAATGTAAAAAGAAGGTCAAAGACACGCCTCTCGCTGGTAACATCCTTTGGGTTTCTGAGCAAAGGGCCACAGCTCCGTCCCTCTGAGCTGTTCAGGTGCAGCCCGTCTCTGCCGTGCCCTTCACGCCCCTTTGCGCAGCTCCGAGGGTGGCTTTGCTGGAGAACCATGGCTCTCCGGCATCAAACAGCACACGTGAGCAACGACAGTTACTTCTGCAAGGCTGGCAAACCGAATGCACATACATCAGCCAAATGTATAGAAAACCAAGTATAGCAGAAGAAAATACAAGTTAAACCTTTTCACAAAGTATTATCTTAGTGATTTGATTTTTTTTTTTTTTTTTTAAACGTAGCTCTACTCCCAGCCTGCCAATGAGCCACTGTGGCCAGCTAAGGTAGGAGGGTCAGCCTTAGCTCTCTCCAGATGCCAGCAAATAATTAACACAATCGTTGACGCAGGCAGAAGTCTTTTCCATACGCTACCAAAACACTTCTGAAACCTTGCTGGGGCAGCCAGGTCACAGCACCTATGCTTACAAGACAGGAGGGGGTAAACAAAACCATACTGCACTGATGGAGCCAAGTTTCTGTAGGTTGTGATTATCCTGTCCCAAACAAGAGGGCACCTCGGGTTACCTGCCAGGCTTTTGTGCCCTGCAGGCTTTCAGACCCAACACGCCGAGCAGCACAGTCTTGTTTGCCATTTTACTCTCCTGCCTCATCCCAGTGCATTTCTATACCTCACAGCAAGTTTCAACTTAACAGAGCTCAAACACAATCTATTATTGGAACAGGCTCCTGGTCTCACTGCTGTAAGATGCCGTATCCATAACCAGCTTTACTTTGGCAGTTTAGACACGTAGGTCAAGCCTCTTGTTACAAGAAGCTGAGCAGGTTGTGAAAGACTCTCCTTAGCCTCTCATAGTGAGGTTTTAACTCCTTTTCCTGTGGCCACTGAAGGGCACGGCGTGGCACCGGTGCTGTCCCTGAGGGTCTTTGTCATTAGCGGAGCAGCTCAGAGGCTCCGTGGTGCTCAGGGTCTGGCGTGCCGAGGTCCTCCTGGGACCAGCACAGGGCTCCTATCTGCCCCCCCCCAGGGAAAAGCTAAAGGATCAGCGAGGAGAGGAGCAGCGATGAGGAAGAGGAGAGCCATGGGACGAAGAGCCCCAGAGGCACTGACCTGCTGGTCTCCCTTACCTTGAGCCACGGTGGCCAGGAGCAAAGCGGAGCTGACCAGGAGGCGGAGGGTGAAGGCGAGCACCATGGTCTGGAGTCCAGACCAGAGGTCCCTGGTGCAGACTGCAGCTCCTGGGGGGCTGCAGGAAGATATGGGCACCCCAGTTCCCTCCACCGCCCCCCACATGCGGAAGGAGCCAAAAAAATACCGGGACAGGAACCCGTGGGCTCCCCAGCACGAGGCGGGCGCAGCCACCACCCCTGCGGAGGCTGCAGGTCCCACGCGCTGCTTCTGCTGCTATTTTTGGCAGGGGAGGGTGGGCCCCTGAGAGCCAACTGCATGTCCCACGGGCACCTGTGAAAAAGGGGTGGGCGCAGGCACAGATGTGCTGTTAGCCGACCTGTACCCTCGGTGGAGAGCATCCTTGGCAGTGGAAGTGGCCCGGGCTCTGCCCCAATTTCCCAGCC